TAGCAGCCCTTTTCCTCTGTGCCTCCTAAAGTTTCTGGTTTTCATGGTCACCTTCAATTTCCAGCTGTATCTGACCATGCTATTTATCCAATGCCACCCTTGAGCATCTTATAGAGTATCTCCAGGGTAACTACCTCTCTGAAAAAATTCTCTGAAAAGGCAGACTAGGCAGAAGGGAAGGCAAACGGAACAAAGATGAAGGGCAATGATTGGTATGATTAACTAGATTGCAAGAATATGGCTTTTTTTTCCCCTAGAAATATGTTTTCCTGCTATCATCTAGGGGAGAGGAGACCTTGTAAAAGAAAGATGTCTTAAAGAGAAAGAAGGAGAAAAGAAGCAGGTAACACAGCTCATTGGAGAGACATGGAAAGAGGGTTTGCTGAGGTAGAGGGTGGCACTATCCAGGGATACTTTCATTTCAGTTTATTGCAATTGACTCAGTTTTGGAAGATGCTGTTTAAAAGGATAAGTTAGAAGCAGGATAAGTTTGCAGTCACTGCGAAGGAAATGGTGAGAGCTGCTTCTCCAGAGTTGGAGCCAAACCCAGATAGCTCAGGGCTGTATTCTCCAAAGGAATCTAGGCTCTACGCAGATGACAGCTAGAAGGACGGCCTTGTAATTTGTCTCTCTTCCCGCCAATAAAAGAGAAATATTTGCATTTCTGCAGCAGGAGACTGAAGAGAAAGATTGCCTCAGGGGTGGCTTCCTCTTTCCCTCCTATATTTGTCTGTCTTTTTGCTCAAATTTGCTCTATTTCCCCTCACCAAAACCCTTTCTACTTCTTCCTCCCACCCCTAGCTAGTTCCAGCCCTATCGCACTTCTGCTCCCTGAAACAAACCCTTCCTATTTTATATCTAAATACCTTTTTAAATTGCAGCAAGTTCAGGAACCTGGCTCTAAAAAAAAAAAAAAAAAAAAAAGCTTTTCAGAAAGGTGTTTTAAGCTGAAATGTGAGCCTCACAGGAGTACAGTCCCTGCATTAATGGAAATGGAAGTTGTCAGGAGACAATGAGATTAAATCCTCACCATGTGTGAATGACAAATGATCGGGTTGCTACAACAAAGAGAGGGTTAAGGATACAAAGTGATTTCAAATACAATTTTTGAAGATTTTGGAGATGAACTGTAGTACAGGGGAAAAAATCAAGGGCACTTGGAGTAGCAATGATCCTTTAGATAGAGAAGATAGATAGACAGAACAAAGGCCTTGCAGGTTTTCTCCAGCTGTAGGAATAGGCAAATTCAGGCAGGGGTGGATCTTCCACAGGGACCAGGGGGTCCAGCCTTGCTCAGGTCTCCCAAAAGAGAAATTTGGGAGGTCTCTCAAAAGCATGTTCTGCACAAAAGCATTAAACACAAACCCACTGGCATCTGGGCTGAGAAGGTCATTCAATGGCCAAAGCAAACGCCAGCAGTGGCAGAAAAGAAAAGAAAAGAAAAGAAAAGAAAAGAAAAGAAAAGAAAAGAAAAGAAAAGAAAAGAAAAGAAAAGAAAAGAAAAGAAAAGAAAAGAAA